GGCTTCCTTTCTCTCCCGTTACCCTGTTCCCAAAGGTGATATTGCAAGAGTGTTGGAAATTACGATTAAATTGGGATCAAAAATTGCCAGAACATTTAGAAAAGAAGTCCATGCAATGGGTAAAGGAAATGAAACTGCTGTCTGATGTCAAAATTCCTAGATGGCTTAATATTGACAGATCGGTTAACGGAGATGTAAGTCTTCATGTTTTCAGCGATGCCAGCAAGTATGCCTATGCTACCTGTATTTTCTTAAGAGTGAAGACTGAAAATAAGGTTTATTTAAATTTTGTGCAAGCACACACTAGAGTTGCGCCTTTAAAGAGTATATCCATTCCTCGTTTGGAATTATTATCCTGCTTAATCGGAGCACGCTTGGGACGTATGGTCTTTTCAGATTTGAACATGCCAAATTTAAGAACATTCTTCTGGACTGACTCAACAACCGCTTTGTGCTGGATCCAGCGAGACGTACGGTGGGGAACTTTCGTTTGGAAATCGTGTCCAAGAAATCAGAACACTTACAAAAATAGAAGATTGGCATTACATCCCTTTGGAGCTGAATGCCGCCGATCTCCCTTCTAGAGGCTGTTCAGTTAAACAGTTTTTGCTGTCGAAATGGTGGGAGGGCCCATCATGGCTGTTAGAACCAGAATCGTCATGGTCAAGAGGCACCGATTTGCTGGACGAAGAGATCATAAATTCAGAAAGGCGTAAATCAGTATTGACAACTCTTAACAAAGATTCTAAACCTGATAATTGGTATTACAGGTACTTTTCATCCATAAAGAAAATTGTACGCATGTTAGGTTGGATTCTTAGGTTTTACTTTAAATTACGAAGAATTACAAACGAAACCTCCAAAATTTTGTCAGTTTCGGAAATTGAAAGAGCTGAGATAACTCTTATGTTATTGGTTCAAAGAGAATCATTTAAGAGTGTGAACGATGATAAAATTAGACCTCAGACCTATAGTTGATTGTGATGGTTTGATCAGAGCTAAAACCAATATTTCTTATCGCGACGATACTGATGACTTTAAGTTTCCTGTCATTTTGCCATCTGATCATGCAGTAGTAAAATTACTAATAATGAATGCACATAATGAGCAGCTGCTTGCTGGTACTTCTATGGTGATGTCTCATTTGCGGGAAAAGTATTGGATCCTCAAAACTCGTAAGACAGTACGAAACTGCATTAGAAAATGTGTTAAATGTCAAAGATTTAAATCCAAAAGTTGTGATGTAACTCCAGGAATTTTGCCGAAAGATAGAGTACGTGATGCAAATGTTTTTGAGATAGTGGGTGTGTCGATCTGGCAGGACCCCTCTACCTTAAAGATGGTCGAAAAGCTTATATTGTTCTTTACACATGTGCGGTTTATAGGGCCATTCATCTGGAGTCAGTAACATTCTTGACAACTGAAGCTTTTTTCCAGTCATTGAGACGTTTCCTTTCTCGTCGCGGAAGACCATCTATAATATACTCAGACAATGGCAGTAATTTTAAAGGAGCGGAGAGCCTTCTGCATACAATTGATTGGGAGAGTCTGTGATCAAAGGCCGCTGAGCAAAGAATTCAGTGGAAATTTATTCCTCCCTCCGCACCTTGGTGGGGCGGTTGGTGGGAACGTATAGTTCAAATGGTGAAACAGATTCTGAGAAAAGTTCTAGGTCGTGCTGCCCTGGATTACGAGGAGTTGCTTTCAGTACTATGCGACTGTGAGAGAGTAATCAATACTAGGCCACTTACCTACGTGTCGGAAGACGTTGAAGATTCATCCCCATTAACTCCAGAAATGTTCCTGCGGGAGATTTCCAAATCAGGAGTACCTGATATCGATACAGTGGATAAGGAAAACTGAGTAAACGAGCTAAGTATCTACAAAAGATGAGAGAACAACTTAGAGCAAGATTCCGTGTGGAATATCTAGGACAGTTACGTCAGCAGTCCATTAAAAACTCTATAGCTAAACCTCTCCAGGTGGGTGAAATTGTTCTACTTGAAGATAACAACAAAAAACGGGCTTTTTGGAACCTGGCGCGTGTCATAAAGCTGCTACCTGGTCGTGATGGACAAATAAGACTTGCTCTCATAAAAACAGAGACTTTTCAGTTTCTGAGACCAGTGCAAAGACTGTACAGACTTGAGCTGGATAACCCAGTCCAAAAGGATATGACTGAAAATATTCCTATGACTACCAGCAGTGGTAGAACTGTGAAACCAGTGATACGTCTGTGAAATGTTTTGTACTTGTTTGAATACTTTGTAATAATTTGATTTATTTTTATTTTTCTAGGTTTAGTATTATCTGTTAATATGTCTAGAAAATTATGGAATGCTGCATCTCCAGGTAAATTTGTATTTCAATTTAATTAGAACATCTTGGTAGGCATAATTTTATACTTCAATATTGTATACTGTACTATTATGCATATATTATACTTAACAGATGTGTGAATTTACCTCCCAGTAAATTCAGGTGGGAGGGGAATATGTAGCGAATAGTTTATCCAACAGATGGCAGTATCTGCCAAGCTCCTTTGGTAATTGTCAATGCGCATGCGCAAGCGGAGTTCAAAAAGAAGTATGTTATTAGGAGAATGATCTTTCGTTAATAATGTTGGTGCGCGTTTTCGCTGTGTAAATAAAAGTATATTTTTATATCATAGATGTTCTTTACTCTCTAATGCGAAGCACTAGGTTAGTGCACGAATCTCTTCTGATTCAGAAACCATTTTCAAACCGTGGATCACCACACCACCTGCTTCTCCCCACTTTGGTGGTTTGTGGGAGTCAGGGATCAAGTCCATAAAATTTCATTTGAAAAGAATGATAGGAGAGACAAAGTTAACATTTGAAGAATTAACTACTTTACTAACTCAAATTGAAGCTGTGTTAAATTCCCGCCCCTTATCTAAAACTAATCACAATGATGTAGGTAATTTAGATGCTTTGACTCCATCACATTTTTTAACTAGCATCCCAGAACAGGATTTTTCTAATATTCCCAAACCCACTTTATTAAAACAATGGGAATTATTACAGCAAATGAAACAGGCTTTGGAAGAGATATTATAAGGAGTATTTAAATTCTTTACAACAAAGATACAAATGGAAGCAACAACTTCCAAATTTGTCTGTAGGTGATATTGTATTAATTAAGGAGGACAACATGCCTCCTGGTGTTTGGCCTTTAGGTCGCATTGTTGAAATCCATCCAGGAAAGGATGGCAATGTTAGAGTTGTTACAGTAAAAACTGTTAATGGTTATTTTAAAAGATCTGTAGTAAAACTTTTACCATTGCCATTGCATCGGGAATGATCTATTGTTAATGCAATGGCAAGGGTGGAAGCTAATGTTAGATGTATATTTAATATTTGCATTTCTTTTTTCTTTGTATATTTTATTTTCTCACTGTTTATTTTATGTTATGATTTGCAATAATCTTGTTACTGGCAACATGCTTTATTTTGCTATTAAGTTTGCATGAATAGCAACAGTTGTTCATGTTTATGTTTCAGTAGAATAGTGTTCTTAGCCGCACTGCGCTGCAGGCAATTTTTCTCTTAAATATTTCATCTTTTAGAATAGCAATAAAGTTTATTATACAAAGCTGATGCTTTTTAGTTCAAGGCAACTACAAATTGTAATCATTCCATTAAATTTCTAGACATATGATGATAATAAACTATTATTTCTAATAAAAAATTGTAAATAATTTTGGATACTTCCTTATTAAATCTATCATTTCGGACTGATGATAAAGTATAATGTCTGAGAAATTTCAGTAAGCAAATATGATTTATTATATTTAGTACAACTAATTGGAAAGTAAGCATAACCACTGCAAAATGCGATTAATTAACAACATATGAAAAAAAAAATTATATAACATATCAAGATATTATGCAAAAATTGACCATTATGTTTAATAATGTTAATCTCTTTTCCATAATGCTGGATTATTAACAAATGTAATGAGTCTGGACAAGGACTCAAGTACATCAAACATAAAACAGAAACCCATGGTCTTGAAATAATCTTGTACTGACAGAATTTCCAATATGTAAGGAATTACAATGCAAAAGTAATTATAATCTAAAAAGATGTACTCTAGGTTTGTGGTGTGTTGTTACATTTTGGTTATTTTCAGTATTTTCATATCATGTTTATAACTCATTGTCTGTTATTGTCTTATCAATAATATATCTATATATCTGTTATCTGACTATATATCTGTTATTGTCTTATCAAGGCACTCCTGACAATGAGGTCACATATCCATACACAATTTGAATTATTATATTAATTAAATAAGGTAGATAAACATGATTTCTGTAACACAGTCTTTTTCATGTCCCCCTTTTCTTTTTGCAACAATGTAGGCAATGATGAGAATAAAATAACAATTTATAATAACCTTGTAACTATTCTATAAACTTATAAAAGCACATTTTTCTACTTTACATACCTATTGAACAATTCTAAGCATTTCAAACATGTGCCAACAATGAATACACCTCTCAAGATTACAGAGTATTTGTGTCAATATAGCCTTTTTTAAGACTATTTAAAAAATCAGATTTTAAAATTATGCACAGATGTATATTTTAAAATTATGTAAGGATCTACATACACATGAATATAATAACACAAATTAAAATAATATATAATATAACAAAGGTTTAATTTCTAAAATTAGAAGTGTCAAAGCCCTACGGAATGCCCTCAGTAAAAATGAGCAATGGAATAAAATAATTAATAATTAAAAAAGTACAGAGACATATAAAAAATTCATTAAATTTAATCAATGATATTAGTTTAATAATATATTAAAACAGCAGACCTCATTATATTTTTAGCAAATTACAATTTTATCCCAAAACTAAGGAGTAAACTGTATGCCAGTGGACTCCAGTGTTCCAGTAACTGAATTTAAGCCCTAAATATAAGAATAATAATAATAAAAAAATTAATCTGAAAAATTAGAGGCCTACCTTTATAAGCTCTGGTTTAAAATGCCATGAACTATTACAAAAGCTTGGATATCCTTTTTTACTTGTAGGCCTGAAATACATTAAAATTAAACAATTTGTTAATTCGTACATGAAATTTTAGTGAAAAGTTTCTACCAATATTTAATTTTATGTTCCGTTACTAATAATTATATTGATGGATCAGATAATGAAGCTCTCATAATTTATAAATGAATTGCTCATATTTAGTTACAAATACATAAGCAATTAATAAATATACAACAGAAAATCATTCTTCAAGATAAAATCCCCAATTTAATTTTAAACATAAATTATTACCTATCATACAGGGTTAAGCCAAAAGAATCAGACACTTTAAATTTTTACAGAAATAATAGTTTTCATAGGATGGCTAAAACACAGTTGGAAGAATAGTTCCTGAAGTTTACATGGCAAAGTTACAAATATTCTAAAACTTAGTCCTTGATATATTTTCATACGGAGCAGTCACACAATATTGATTTCAGACTTCTTAGTGATCAACATGCCACAACACGTTCTGGTTTCCTAAATGGCTAATTTAATGCTGAAGCAGATTTTAGTTCATATCTTACTCTAAAATGACATGTTACAACAATAAGAAACCTAGCTTTTGCCCATTCAAATACATAAAAATCTTCTACCTAGCAGCCATCACTTGAATGATGTCAAAGGAGCTCATACGATGTTGGCATCACTAAAACAAATTAATGGAGGAGGTCGTACACTACAAAACTTCCTCCATAAAATGGCACTAAATGCTTCTTGAGAAAAAAAAAAAAAAAAAAAAAATTAATTTATGAGTATTTAACCTATTACTTTTAGACTAACCCTGTTTAATAAACCTTTTTTTAGCATAATCAAGAGAGCAAGAGTTTTTTCAATACAACTTCTATACTAAAAAATTATTCTCGAATCTTGTACAAAAAGCAACAAATTATGAAATAAAAATATTTTTGGTTAGTCTATATTTTAAGGTGCCCTTTGGATTATCACTAAGTTGTTGTTTCATTTATTGCGAAATTGTTGTTTCATTTATGGTAACCTGAGTAGTTGAATGTTATGGAAACCCTATTATGATGTGATTGGTTGTGTGACTGCGATGAATTTGACGGATGGGAAAATATTTGTAAAGGCTAATTTCTGTGTTGGATGTCAGTTAGGAAGTTGCTTATTTTGTGCTGTATGCTGTAAAATGGTTGTATGTGATGAGATTAATCTGAAGTTTCTGTACAAAGTGGAACAAAAGCATTAATTGACTGGTGTGTAAATGAAGGTTTACATAGTAGTCATTATAAGTGTCCTGTTTGTATGAAGGGAATGCATATTGTTGAACTTAAAAATCATTCAGATGGGTTTGTTGCAAGAAAGGTTCATGCAAGAAATGCCACCAACAGTCCGGCACTATGGAGCATATTTTTGACTCTTTTTGTGAATTTATGTGGTGATGGCAGTATGCATATTCTAGTTCAGATAAATTTAGAAAGTTTTTGGACGCTGTTAAGGAATTTTTTGTGCCACAAACTGAAGACACAGAAATTTCTAAATATGGTACGTCGATATTTCCTTTTTGTAGTGTGTATATGCGATAACATGTATTTCCTTTTTTGTGTGATTTAAAATGCAGTTTATTGAGCTTAAATTGGCTACAAATTTTGTTCAGTTTTGGTGATGAGTAACGTTGTTTGAACATTATTTGACGTCATCATTCTTCAGGTTTTTTAAGTGAAAATAGATCAATGTGTACATGAACAAAATCATGGGCGTGTGCAATGCCGAGTTTGTGCAATTATTTGACTTATTATTGTGGTTTTGTGTAACGGCCACCTGGAAATTGTGCCTTGCTGGCCAATCACCAAAAATCAGCAATTTTCACCAAGGAGCACCATGAAATATATTTTTACCATATTGTGTGCTAATATATTTTCAATTGGAATAACTAGAATACCCATAAATAATATTTTAAAAGAAAGAATACAATGCAATTCAAATTTACTCATTATACATGCTGGAAAATACAAAGCTTCTATTTCTCAGTTATTAAAAGAAGAAAAAAACACATTGTTATACTTACCACAAGCCATGTATTGTCCATTCTGTAACTCCCTTAGGTATGAGGCACTGAAAAAAAAAATTCCTTGGATATCAAAAGTAAATATTTTATGAAATGAAATTGAAATACTGCACACTGCTGTTTTTTTCACAAAATCTGTTTTAATTTATTGTTTCATTCATAATGATATTAATGTAGCCCTATTTGTTTCCTCTAAAAAATTTTATCACAGTTTTATACTTTAAACCAGCGGTCGTCAACCCTTAGAACGTCACGAACCACTACATAAATAATATTTGGCGGACCACTTATATGAAAGGAACTTTACGAAAAGCAAGAATAAACTGGCAGATGCAAAGCAATATCAATAAACTTATAGAGTTATGCTGCAAATTTTTAATTACTGTACACATAATAATCATCGCTTACTACTCAGCAATGGTACCATCCATCAACAGTTAGACAAAACAAAAACGGAAACTTCCAGTGATGCAATTATAAACAAAAAATGTGGATGAACCATCTGCATTCTTGTTTATAATTCCATCAAGTTCCATCCATAAAAATCAAGTTGCCTATTGACAAAGAGAAGAACTGTGTTATCAACGACTACAATATCATATGTTTGTAACTCGAAAGAGAATTCTAGTTCGTGCTAATATTGATAACAATAGCAGCATGTCCACGGATGCCAACTCTCACTTTCAAATGTATCTTAGATACGCCTGCAAAGGTAGCTAAAAAGTCGCTAAATTCAGAAGGAATTTTGCGAAAAGTAGTACAGTCAAAAGTCGTTAATCCGGACTCGTCGGGACTTCGGCGATTCCGGATTATCGATTTTTCCGAATTATAGATCATCGTTTTAATCTGGTAAGATGGCATGCAGAAATTACAAATTAAAATATGAACCGTAATTTATGAAATAAAGAACAATTATGATATAAAGGGTATCAAAATTTACAAAAGAAAAAGCTTAATATTTATTTGTTTACTTTATTAAACATTTCTTTCAATGTAAGTTGTTACAAAGTTGCTTCGTTTTATGTGATAATACTTTCTCTTTAATTCTATAAACAGACATAATTTCTTGTTCAGTTACAAAGTTTCACTGTTCAAGTCCTGTAATTGCTGTGTCGAGAATACCGACTAACTTGTCAATTGAAATGTTTTCGTTTTCAATAACCTCTCTGTCACTTTCTTCACTATTGGAAGCAAATTATAATGACAAGGAACTTGATTTAAATCATATCAAAGACGGAGTACATCGAGATAAAATACTACATTTAGTAAAAAATTATAAGCCAAATAAAATAAAAACATCTGCCCTGAAGATAAGCATAGTGCTGACAGATCAACTTCCAATTCATTGCGCGCCACGGCGTTTCTCCCCCCCCCCTGCCGCAAAGCAGCGTGAAATTGATAAACAGATTTCGGATTTCAAAACATACTTTCGTTTTGTAGATCCTTTACACATTAGTAAATATATATCGGAAATTCTATATGACATAATCAAGTTCAAGCTTACTTTTATAAAATTGCTCTAACAGTCTGCAAAAAATAATAAGCCGGATCCAATTCGAAGATTAAGGAACAACGCAATCTGCAACATTAACTGAATTAGATAATTTTAGCTTAGCTTATACCGTTCGTTATACATTAAACGCGCAGGCGTAAACATATTATACACTTGCACACACGCATATTTGCAGCCGTAAAGGTCTTACGTGCACGCGTAAACGCCTATGCGCATGCGTCAACGCGACGAATGCGCAGAAAGTTTGTAGCTTTGAGGTCTGGACTATAGATCATTCCGGATTATGGGTGTCCGAATTAACGACTTTTGACTGTAGCTAAAATTAAAAAAAGTATAATCCATATTCCATTGTAGGTTTTGTTACCCATCATTTTTTAAACTGAATCTTCATAAAAATATAAATAATGTCCCAATTTTTCTGCAGATCAGCAAAACGTTATCATGGACCACCAGTTGGCAACCGCTGCTTATGAGTATTTTAATCATAATTTACAAAATAATTTACTTTTGTTTCATATACAAATTTATTACATACAGCAGAAATATAACTGTTAAAAAAGTCTGAAATTTGGAAATATTTAATCATAAGCAGAATACAGTTCAGCATAAATACTGCAAACTACCAAAAATGCTTATTTAAAATGAAAGAACTTGTGAACACATATCAAATTTCATAAAATATCAAATGCCAAGTGGAAAAATATTCAAAAATTTCAATTGCTGCTCCAAGCTTAAAATCAATGAAAGTTTTTGTGGTTTTCTACATAAATATGAAAAGAAGCCAGTTTTCCTTAAAAGTCTTCTAAGAAGGAATTTATTCTCTTAGGCCTAATCCAAGTAATCTTAATCCCAATTTCAATCTCTGCTTAAACGTGATGGAGCATTTGAGTAATACAATCTCAGTTCAAGTACATAATTTCTTTCTCTTCACATTTAAAAGTGTATCCAAAATAATTACATATACAGTTCAATATAGATTTCGCAAATCACTGATAAAACAAAGAATAATAAATCATCCAATATAAATTTGTAATGTATAAAAAATACAAAGTCTATGTGTACATTAAATAAAAAAACTGCAATTTTGTGTATATGATATATTTACTGTAAACATTTAAATAATTACAGGATACTTTTGTTCTTAATAGCACATGTCTAGTTACCAGTGTTTGGTAAGGGCAGAGAGGCCAATAAGTTCTTCCTTGTGTATGCACAATCATTCACATATTGTTATTTGAATTTTATCATTATCCCAAAATATCATTCCATTCAGAAGTGTACACAAGTCTCATTTCTGAAAATACACTGCACATATGCTTTGGTATCAGCCTCATACTGATGAAGAAGAGATAAACATCATTCATATCAAGTATCAAGCCTTTATGTACCCATCTTGCCTACAGTTTGTGGAATTACAACTTATTATAAATGATACAATAAGCTGAATTGACATTCTGTCTGTAATCCAAGATTAAGATGTGTTGGTTTCTTCCACATCACATTTTCCATAGCTGCAAGGTTAGCTTTTATGACAAGTGGACTTCAGCCAGGAGAATGCACCATAAGTGATATCAGTTTTGATCTTCTCAGTCCAGACGATTTTGTATAATACATTCCCTTGCAACATTACATATGACACATATGCCCGTTAAATTCTGATTTGATGATGAACCTGCAATAGGCCTGATGACAAACCTTCAAAATTTCACTAAACAAAAATCTCATAATACATACTTCCCTGTTCTTGTTTGATGCTCTGTCACAAAAGTATCACCGAATTCTTTTCCATGTTCTTTTGGCAGAATGTTCACTCACTGTCACTGCTTTGTGGTACCACCATCGTTTAGTAAGGAAGTGCTGTACTTGAGAGTGGTAAATGATCTTGGGAGTTGAACTGCTGTCTGTAGCATAAAAGTTAAACTTCATATCATCAGTGCAAAAGTGCACCTTTACATTCACTGTTTAATATTTGATTCTTCCTGCTACACAATCTGACTGCTCACTGAACTGAGTCTTCTAGTGGCATTTTAAATGTGACACTAAAGGATGCAATTAACTGTTCCGTTCACGTCCACAATTCAGGTTGACTACTAGCCTTGAGCACTGATGTGGTTGATTACTGCAAGGGTGGCTGTGGATACAATGCTGGGAATTCCTAACTGGAACCTTTGTTGCATTGCAGAGCATGATGTGTTTGAAGTTACTCATTATTTTGCTCCATGTATTTAGAGTTAGATGCCCTTATCATGTCAGTGGTCATTAATATGATGGCAAAGTAAGTACCATTGCCACGGTTCAACTTTACCAGTCTCGTGGTACCATCTATATTAGGAAATCAAAATAATTTATAGTTGCAGAAGCCCGCTTTGGATTTGTTAATGGTGATATCCACCAGTATATGGAACCACTGAAGACTGATGTTCAGTGCTACACAGCTAGGGTTTAAACCAAAACAGACTGTGGTATGACAACTCGAATAATCAAGGCAAAAGTATATTTGAACTTCAAGCATTAAGGAAGGCATGTTATTGTAGTTGCAAATAAAATTCCTCATTTCTATATCTGTTTTCTAACACCATCTATTAATAACTCATTGTATTGCATATCCAACACAACACATCAGCAATAAATACAATGTTTAACTTAACTTTTTTGAATGCCTGATGAAGAATACAAGCCCAAAAATAAAGATCTTAATGAAGAAAGTAAATGAACAATTCTTTAAAGTATGAATATGCTAATGCATACTACTTTATATTTTGAAAAGTAATGATGGATTTTTAAAGATTTATTTTGTACAATAAATTATTACTTAGGAAAGAAATACGATATTAAAGATCTATATTTGCTTCAAATATTTCACTCTTCAAATTTACACTTTTCTAATAATTATTACCTTTCATCTTCTATGTCATATTTCACTGAGTGCTTCCTCCCCCCAATCCCTAAACTGAAAAGAGAATTCAGCAATTCAATTTGTTTCACTTCCTCCCCTAGTTAACAATAGGCTCACTGCTTCTTTCAATGTCATCATATAGCACCCAGAAGATGCAAACACTCACTGAGATCTGAGAAATCTGCTTTTCTGAAAATAATTTCATTTCTATGTGACAATGAGTAAAATGTCTTTAGATTAATCACGAATTCTGCTTTTTTACAGTAGATTATTAGTGTTTAAAGTCACTTTATTCCACTTAAAAAATGCCAGGTCGAAGGACTTAAGTCTGAAAGAAAAGGATAAATTGTTGAAAGATTTTGATGTACTTGCTAACAGCATGAAGAGAAAAACTACACTTAAACTGAGAACTTTTCATAAAGCATTATGCAATTTACTTAGTAAATTATAATTAGTGAAGAACTAATAAAAAATATAAATATCCCAGTGAAGCTAAAAAAAAATAGAAAATCTCAAAAGAGATAGAACATTGAATCTGCTTTTCTAGCACGAATTCAAACTATATAACTAAAAAACTTTTTCTGTCTGAAGAGTTTTTCATTAATTCACTAAATACTAGGAGAGAATTTGTATCAAATGATGATGGCTCACAAG